AGAAATCCCAGATACATCACTTGGGATTTCACTTTGTGCGTCTGAACTGCGTTACTGCAGTTCAGTCACAACAGTTTGGAGTCACTGGCTGCATATAGAGTTTTTTATTTTTTATTCAAATGGATGGAAGAGAATTCTGCCCCTGGGTCAGATAATCATCTCAGACCTGTTAAATAAGCAGCTGTGACATGCATCATAACAGGGGCCTAAACCACCATATTTTTTCAATATGACACTTGGTTGCTTTTTTTCCTTGGCCTGTGGTTGGGCTTACATTAGAAAAACAAACAGCACTTAGCTATAATTAAAAGTGCCCTACGGTAAGTGGGATGACAAAACAATGGGAATACTGTTCATATGGATGAAGTCAAGTGTAAATGAAGTCTAAAAGAATTAAGTTGAATGCAAGGATAAAATTATCTTGTTGGCTAGGCACAGAAAGTATAAAATAAGCCTACCCAATACAACAGATCTTGCATTTCACAGTAAAAAATCTGATCAGGGTAGTTTTTTTGTATCATGAGGCAAATCCATCTTTTGCTGTAGCAACAGAAACATAACCTTCAATTAACTATTTAAAACTATTTGAAATGCAGTTGTATATTGGTAATTGTAGAGAGTTTTATGCATACAAGTATCTACCTTGGACATGTGTGCAATATACTTATTTATACTACTTGCATTCAGTTTCTAAAAATAGGAAATATTCATAATAGTATTCTTAGAATTCCTTTTTTTTCAAGATAGTCAAGTTCTACTTGGAAGTACCTTTATTAAAATTTTATGTTGAAGAACCACTGTATCATATAGTTGTTTTTTTTTTTTTTAAGTATGCTTCAGACATAATTATGAACATAGTAAGACGACATAACCTTCAATTAACTATTTAAAACTATTTGAAATGCAGTTGTATATTGGTAATTGTAGAGAGTTTTATGCATACAAGTATCTACCTTGGACATGTGTGCAATATACTTATTTATACTACTTGCATTCAGTTTCTAAAAATAGGAAATATTCATAATAGTATTCTTAGAATTCCTTTTTTTTTCAAGATAATCAAGTTCTACCTGGAAGTACATTTATTAAAATTTTGTGTTGAAGAACCACTGTACCATATAGTTGTTTTTTTTTTTTTTTTTAAAGTATGCTCCAGACATAATTATGAACATAATAAGACATAATTATAAGAAGGGTTGATAATTTTCAACCTCCAGTAGCTGTCATCCTGCTTCAGGTTTAGCTGTAGTCAGAGTCTTGCTGACCAACTGACTGATGTTTCACTAATTGCCACTTGAAAATGAAAAGGGAAACTGTCTAGCTTTGAAACATTATTCATGAAAGAAGGATCATGCTGGCATGTTTTCAGAACAGGATCTTTCCCCCCTGTCTTGTCTAGACAGGCCAAGTACAAGACTTTGTACTGAAAAGGGCTCTCTGGTGTGTCATTAGGCACAGTGGTTTAGTCTGGACTGGTCTGGATTCCCTGGTCAGAGTGTTTTGAGGTCACTCCTTGTATTTTGGTACAGACCTCTGCAGGTTTATTTCAGTTTGAAAATACTCTAATATTTGCTTTCTACTACCTCCCTCAACCTGATTTTGATCCGTTTTGCTTTACAAGGAAGGGTTCTTCTCTGGTTTTAGTAAAAGCACTGTTTAAATGCATTCACTAAGCAAACTAATTTAAGGTACTGAATTTTTGTTACAAGTTGCAAATACCAGATGCTAAGTATATTCTATGGTCAGAAGTATCTGTATTTTCATTGAATAATCTGTTGAATTAATGTATCATATTCCTGCAATACATTTTTTCTTTGAATATTTCTTTCAGACTTCAACAGGATGTGATTATGCAGACTAAGGTTTGCAATTTTGTGTCCTCCATTAGATATTACATTTTGTTGGATATAGATGTTACTTTTGCAGATGCATGAGTGAGAAAAAGAGGAGCCCCACTGATACGCAGGCACTGCTCAGCACTAACCAGAACATCACTGTGACATCAACACTGTCCTACAACACTGTCCAACACTGATTATTTGGATCACAAATCCAGATAGCCACCAGCGGGTCTGTTGTAAAGAAAGTTAACTCCATCCCAGTCAGGGCCAGTAGAGGATGACTGCTTCATTGGCAAATAGATTTGGTGGGAGACCAGAAGGCAACACGCTTTTTGACAACATGCCCCATTTTCAAATCAACACAGAATTCCTGTGGTATTGTGAGCAACCTTCCAGTCAATGTGGCGCATCAAAAATGCGACAAGAGGCCTCATGACTTTTTTTTTTAAAATGCATTTTCACAATGGCTATTTTCACATGTGTGAGGGAATGATGAAATAGCCTTTATATTTTACAAGAAAAGTTGATTGAGTCTGCTTTTTGATTCTAAATTTCAGTGTGGTCTGTTATCTATGACAACCCTCCCCCTTCACCTTAAATCACAAATCCTTTCTTCTGGTTAGTCCTCTTATGATAATGTTAGTTAAACCCCAGAACTTTTAATACTTTAATATAGCTATGAAAAATGTAATGCTTCATCTAGTCTTTTGTGTGAAAACCGTGTAATCTGGTGGCAAACAGACACCTTGAGTTCTTAGCTTTTACACTGTTTTTGACTTGACATCTTGCTTGAGCATTTTATATCAGTCATGGGAGAAGCATGGAAAGCATTACATTAGGACTCAGCACAAAGGCACAGGAAAGCAGTAAAAGCTAGCCAAAGTAGGATTCCACATATTCTTACTGCAATATGGTGATTGGTTCTTTCTAATAGAAGCATTATGTTCTTTACCACTCTAATTTAACCCTGTGTGATATTCTTCTTTTAAGATACCTGGGAAGTTTGAATCCTTTCAAGGTGACTTTTCTAACCTTCCAAGACAGCTTTGTTCATTTCTTGTTCCAGTTTCTTCATGAAATTGCAGAAATGAGTCCTAAAGCATTGTAATTATCAGATTGCTAATATTGAGCCTGGTTTTTTAAGTCTCCTTTCCAGAAGTAATTGTTAATGACCTTTTCAGTTCCATGGGTTTCAAAGACTTACTTCATTTGGTTATGATTTTTTTACAGTCTATACTCAGAAAGAATCTAAGCCCTTCAATGCCTCTTCAGTTCTTTGTTGTTGCAGAGAAGAACAGAGTAACAAACAGAAGGAAATAATTTGTTTGTACAGTATTTTATTCTACAATTTTAATAGGTCAGGGACTGCAGGGTTGGACTGAAAAAAAGCTTAAATTTGAGGATCTCATTTAGGCAAATACTTGTTTTATAAGTACACTTTCACCAAGCAAAATAGATCAGTTTTTTCCTCCACAGGAAATGCTTGTTTTCCTTGCTTTTCATACCTTCTATTTATATTCCTAAGTAACATTTTATATGTTACACATATTTATGCATACAGTTTTTTATTGCAGCAGGTTCTTGCTGGTACGTGTACCAAAACATCATTAATACTCTTGAAAAGTGTTCAGAGTGAAGTCTGCAAATTGCTTTTATCTATAAAACAAATGAAAAAGGAGAATGAATTTGCTCCCTTTCTCAATTTCTTTTCCCTCTCCTTTGCTATTACCATGCTTGCATTACGCAACAGACACGTGTCACAGCTTGGTAACTGATTTAGGGACTTTTTAGAATGGGAGGTCCTGTTGTCTCAGTTCAGACTAAGTTAAGATTAAAGCAAAGTCTTCTGCTGATACTGTTGAAGATGAACAAATTCTTCCTCTTTGCTGGGAAGGACCAGAAATCATCTCTCTGAAGCAGAATCAACCAGCCCATACTGTAGTCTTAGGGAAGCCCAGGGTTCAGGGAATGGCACTCCTTTAATAACCTGCTTGTGAGAGTTTCTAATTCTGTCTACTTTGCCTCTGCTTGTGAATGACAATCACCAGAATTTGTCAACATACTAGTAGTGTAATCATTAAATTTTAGTTTGTCTAGATATAGTGTGTTCTCTGTTCTGTACGTGTATTTTACTTTGGAGCAATCCTAGTGAGAAAGCTTTTCATAACTGTGTGTATATTTTTGTGAACGTTTCCTAAGTACATCTCCAGTGCTTCCTATAAAGTATACTTGGTCTCATAGGAATTGTTCCCATGACAGAATCATATTTAGGGGAAACTGTTCTCCTCTTTTTTTGGTAAAAATAAAGTGTAAAAGCTACAGCATGCCTGCATTTAGCATTCAGACATCTTATAGGCATTTTAGAAGTTTACTGACTTTTAAAGAGCACTAGCATGTGGGACTTTAATGTACAGACACCAAGTGCTTGACTGTAATTAGGTGGGAGACTGGCAAATTGGCTTTGGGAAGGTAGTTAGGAATAATTGTCTGTGTCTGAACAGGATTGTTCCTGGTTACAAACTATACTGTTGCCTTACAGCTGATGCAAGGGTTTTTTTTTAATGTGGGACAATTACTATTTTTATTAATACTACTGTCTTGCCCCAGATATGCAAGGTGCCACAAACATATATGAGAACATAGTCTTTGTCCAAAGTGAACTATAATCAACTGCAACTATAATGAACTACAAAAAAATATTGCATATTATTAAAAAAGGTGAATTTTCCCAAGTGGCAAATCTGGTTTACCAATGATTTGATACTGGTGATCAGGAATGTGTCACTTCTATATTTATACAATGTATCGGTGCCACAAACATATATGAGAACATAGTCTTTGTCCAAAGTGAACTATAATAAACTACAACTATAATGAATTACAAAAAAATATTGCATATTATTAAAAAGGTGAATTTTCCCAAGTGGCAAATTTGGTTTACCAATGGTTTGATACTGGTGATCAGGAATTTGTCACTTCTATATTTATACAATGTATAAATGCTGTAAGGAAAAAACATTTTTGTGTTGGTGTTGAAATGCCAAAGACCCACCCACCATTATAGCATCTAGTTGAAAAAGATTGTCATTTTAGCACTGAAGAAGGGTAGGCATCAATTTTCTCACAAATTTTTGTTTTGGTTTTTTCTTTGCCTTTCAGAGTGCAAATTCACCTGCGCCAGTGGTAAATGCTTGTATCTTGGTTCACTGATTTGTAACCAACAGAATGACTGTGGGGATAACAGTGATGAAGAGAACTGCCTGCTTGTAACAGAGCATCCACCTCCAGGCATCTTTAGCTGTGAGTATTGGCTCCTTGTGTGCATCCACGTATGTCAAATATGTCTGGTTACCTCAGAAATCAGTCTTTTTGGAAACTTGATCTGCAGTATGATATCAAGGGAGCATGAGACAGAGAAAGTAAATAATATTTTTCTCAGAACTAGCAGGGATTTGTGACACACTTTTCCCAGGATTCTAAACATATAAATTTTTAGTTATTCGAAGGGAGTTTGTGCTATGGACATTGTGGTTATAATCATGTGTATTATATGTGACCTCTGAGAAAGAATAATTAAATATTTGTTTTCCAAGATTCTACAAAATATTCTGTGCTCTGTCTGTGTAAGAGTCTTTATATGCTATTAAGAATATCAAGAAAATTATAATTTTCTGTTCATAATTCCTATTAGTTTTATTGGTGCTGAGATCAGCATCATTTGGTAGGTTACTGACGTTTGTAGGTATATATTTAAAATATCTTTAGTTGCTATTCTTCAGTGCATAAATATTACACACAGAGTTCCAGAGTTTATAACAGGAATTGCTTTCTTAGTGATTTGCCCTCAGTCACGTACAATGAAGCCAAACTTTGCTTTTGCTTTTGTTTCTAGTGCAATAATTTATTTTTAAACTACAATTCAGCTTTCTGGATGGGTGATAAATTTTCCAGTAAGGTTTCTTATACACAGGTGCAATAGATGTATGTTATGTTACTTCTGCTTTCCAAACGGTTTTGTTCTGCCCATACTGACATCCTTCAGTATTCTATTTCACTTTTGGTTGTGACTATATCTTAGTAATATCAGTTTTGTTATATTGTTATTAGTAATAGCAATTATGAGCAGCACATACGTGTAATTTTTGTAATTAATGCTTGGGGCTATAAGCAGGACAGAAGATGGAGTCAGGTGTTGAATGTACGCCTGTCCTTCTGTACCCTCTAACCTCCAAGTGGACATGTTCCAAAATACTCTAAATCATTTAAATCTTGTACTTTGTATTATTTTGATACCTCTGCAGTGATTTCAGTGGCTTTGAAATAATAATGACCTGTGTATTCTTTTAGGCTATTTCATTTTATTTTTGTTTTAATTTATTTAGTTTTGAGTGGAACTCTCTCCCAAGTCCCAGGACAAGCCATAGTTTTGGTTTTTTTTTGACTGGGGTATTGTACAGCTCTTCTTTTAAACCAAACTAGCACGACTGTTTGTCCAAAAGTGGCCACAAAACCTGCAGTGGTAGCAGGTGGAAGGAAGAGCTTTGGTGATGAGCAGCAGCTGTGGCATCGCAGGTGGTGGCCCTGCACAGCTGCAGTGTGACGGTGGCACCCTGTGAGTTCCTAGGTGGAGCCTCTTAGGTGGAGCTCCCAAGCCCTTCTTCATCCTGAGGCCATCCTGAGGGCACCGGTGATTTTGCAGTATCCCTCTGTGCTGGTGGCAGTCACGTGGTGATCAAGTATCATCTTGGCACCTTCTCCTCAAAAGCCCTTTGGACTCTATAAATGGTTACTTGTTTGACCCAGGATCTGCAAGCTTCCTGGTCTTCCCCTAAGTCACATGTGTCCCCTCTGGTCTTGCTGTAGATCATGAAGACAGACCTGCCTGGTCACTTGGTGAGTCATCCCCCTAGCCTCCAGCGACATGAAGTTTGTGCCAGCCAAACCAAACCAAATGTGTCTCTGAAAAACCTTCAGCAAAAGGTTCCCTACTGCTTTCCTGAGAATTGCAGTTGGTGCATTTAATGATCCTGTCTCTGGAAAGTCGTGCAAGTTGGCAGCAGTTGTCTTACTTTTCAGTGGGCTTGGTGGAGAAAGACAGTCAGCTTCCTCCTCCAATCAGCCTTTTACAGCTGTGGGTGTTTTTCTTAAACACCCATCCATGGGTGTTAAAAAAAAACCCCAACAAACAAAACACCCCCCCCCCAAGTTTGTTCATGTGAATTATGTTTCCTTAAATCTGTTAGAGTTACGAATTTTCTCTGACTGCTTCTAAAATATGGTGTCCAATAGGCCTACTAACTGAGATCTCCTAAGTGCTGAGGGAAGAGGGGTAATTACATGAATAGTCTTATTATTAAGTCTTTCAAGAACTTTGAATTTGCTGGGTTTGCAACAACATTGGAAATGAGGAATTGGATGCATTGCTAGGAGCATTTGGAAATGTTTAATTTTTTGCTTACCTTGTGGCAGATACAGCAGCTCATGATTTGTTGCATTTGGGGATATTGACAGGGACTGTATTGTTTCGTTGTAATAGGGACTGTGTGACGAGTGCTGTTAAATAAAGGGACTTCGGTTTTAAGTAAAAAACCCCAACCAAATCCCAGTGAAACAGGATCTTAATGGTGAAACAAAGAGAAAAAGAAGATCAAAGCCAGACAGGAAAATAATACAACCATAAGCTGTATTTAAATTATATTTACCATGTTCTGGCTATTAAACAGACTACTACACGGTAGAAATCAGTGCCAGTTGGTAATAGGAAACAAGATTATTATGGACACGTCAGTTGTGTTGGCTTATTCCAGCTCTGAAAAAATGTTTTTAGAATACATGCTGAAGTGAGGTCCCCAGGCCTTAGAGGGATGACATGTTGAATTAAGAAATGTGTGCATGCTTTTGCTCAATGATTTTAATGGGGATCCCTACCAGAGCACACCAGAGTGTATGCTCTTGAAATGTCCCAGCTGAGCAGGCTGCCTTTCAACACAGAAGTACATACATTCATTGCTCTCTCATTAGTAACAAGACAGTAATACAGCTCAGTAAGAAGAAAATTAGTATTAAAAAAAAATCACTTGAGGAATGTTAAACCAAGTATTTCTTTCTGGTCAGTGTTACATACAAGCCCTGTTCTTGCATCTTCTTACTTGTGTGCAGTTCTTAAATGGGAAAGAAACTGTTGAAAGGAGCCACTTATTAGTTTGTGCTGGTTAACATCCAAGCAGGGTATCCTGTTTCTCCCTGGTACTGCCCTTGTCTTTACCTACAACACGTCATCACTACAAGCAGTATGCCTTCCCCTCTGCTGTTTGTTCAAAGAACCCCTTTGTCATGCTATATTCAAACCTTCTATCCTCCTGTGATGAAAAATATATTAATCTCATTTCACAGTTACACAGAGACTGCCCCCAAACAATGTCTAAATAAATAAATTTTTATATGAAAGTTCCGCTTTAGTTTATTTAAGCAGTATGTGCCGTGTTAGTGGTACCCCATGCTTCCCAGCTGCTGAAGCATTTCTCGTTTGTGTTCTTGCCAGCAGCCAAATCCAGAATGTGTTGTTGGAGCTTCTTGTTCAGTTTAGTTAAGTTGCATGGGCAATGGCATAGAAATAATTTTTTTTTGTGGGTAACGTGGTCCCTGGATCTCATGATTATAGGAGATGCTATCTTACTGTTAGAGGAGTTCACATCTCCTAGATCTCGTGTTCCTCTCTCCTTGCCATTCTCATATGGCTCCTGTGTGCTAACTGTTAATTCAGTCTTTTAAGTCATAGAATGGTTGGGGTTGGAAGGGACCCCAAAGATCATCTAGTTCCAACCCTCCTGCCATGGTCAGAGACACCTTCTATGAGAACAGATTGTTTTAAAATCCCATCCAACCTGGCCTTGAAGACTCCTAAGGATGTGGCACTCACAGCTTCTGTGGGCAACCTTTTCCAGTGTCTTACCACTCTCACAGTACAGGATTTCTTCCTGCTACCTAATCTAAAACCTATTCTCCTTCAGGCCATTCCCCTTTGTCCTATCATTACATGCCCTTGTAAAAATGTTGCTGCTGAACTCAATGTCTCAGTGTGTGCAAAGGAAAACAAAAAGTGTATCTCTGAAGCCCTTTGGTTGTCTTAATTTTCCTTTGCTGAGTTATAGGTAGGTCTGCCTTATGCTGCTGTGTGGGCAATTCACTCTGTATAGCACAGAGACATTGGAGGACAGCTGGGAAAATCCAAGGTGCATTAGAGTCTGATTTTAGATGAGACAGCAGTCCAGAAAGTTGATCAAAATACATGCTGAGGCATTTCAGCTGAACATGTTAAGGTAACAGCTTTCTTGGTTTACACCGGGGTGCAGGTTTGGTGTTGAAGCACACCTCCCCTCCTCCGTGAGGACACCCAGTGCTGCTGCACCTCTCCCTGCAGCTCGCCTTGTGCAGAGCCCATGTCACCTTTCAGTAGGGCTACTTGGTTTTGTTTGCATCAGCTGTAAAGACTTATTGATTGAGATAATGGAGATGACTGTTCTTTTAAGACTACTTGGAGGTCAAGGGTGTATTTAACAGCACAAAGCCGCGATAGGAAAAATGAGGCAAAGAGTAGGATTTTAAACATTGCAGACTTGGCCTTGGCAGCAGCTTGCCACTCCATGTGACCTGGAGAATTTGGACTCCAAAGAACTGAAACAATGTGCCTGCATCTAGAAGGACACAGTTCATTTGTTTGAGCATTTCCCTTTGTTTCACAACAAATGATCAGCCTGCCTTGTCCTGCTAAAAGTAAATTAGATTTTAAAATGGGAAGTGTACTCTGTTGTCTGCAGACTGCCGTGTCCAAGTCATGTCTCATTGAGAAGGGTTGTGGTGGTGAAGATTTTAGGGTTTTTAATTGTTTGCTGGAAGACAGTACAGGTAGTTGTCTTTGCTGTGATCTGTATGTATTCGTGGGCATATCAAACACAAATATTGACATGCTTGAGAATTTACAGAAGAATAAAATAAGTGAGAACAAATCCTTCTTGTCATGTGCAAATTATGTCTACATCAAATTTCAAGTTGTCAGCATTGATGGAGGTGATGTGTCATGGCTGTTTTGGCATAGAAGAGTTTGCTGTAGGAGTTCATTTTCCTCTGCAAGGTAAAAAAACCCAAACAAATCAAATATATAGCTCTCCCTTTCACCATCCCCACCTACTGCTGTCAGCTCTGAGCTTTGTAGGGATCTGCAGGGGGTTGGAGAATGATTCTGTTTTAAAAACAAAAAGCTCAATCAAAGGAAAATATTTTGTTTAAAGAGACCTTTGGCA